AGAAAACTTTGACTGTATTGAGCTGGTTTAGTTGTCTCTGTTAAATGCCTTGAGATGACATGTGTTGTGAATCGGCGCTATATAAATTAATTAAACTGAAATGAATTTATATTCTTTTGAAATGGTAGTATAGTTCTATTTTGTTTAAAATATTCAAACAATGACTTTTATAAAACTGAAAATGCTCTGCTCTTAAAATGTAGACGTAATAACCAACCAGCCTAGACTGAGAGTTAGTTCAGATGACTTGGAAAGTATTGACATAAGAAAACCTGTCATACAGGAGAATTATGGTGAGTCTTGGTGAATCTGCCTGGTTTTCATCTTCCTGAATGCAAGTAGATAAGCAGCCAAGGAGGACAACACCAAAGTTTAGGCTCCAAAAGCGAATGACTGAAAGTGTTGCCAGGGTCAAGTTTGTAGACACTCTATTGAGGCGGGGGCATTGATGACAATGCTATTGTGACTATGCTTATTTGCACCCAACCCCCAGCAACCCCAGTTAAAAGTTCCCATCATCCACCATACATCCAGGGGCACCATCTGCCCCTTCTTTATAATTCCAGTCAACCCCCCGAATTTTTCCGTCCTTTCAGATCCATCTCAGAGGTGACTTTCCCATGCTACCAAATCTCACATCCTCACCCTTGTCCCATTTTCTCTATGACCATGGTGACACCCACAGTCTTGTTTCGGGGTTAATGTCCTCATATGCAAAGAATCCCAAAGCTTAACAAAAGATGATCCGCTTCGCAGCTGGGAAACATCGACATTCACGTATGCACTTGAACTAGAGGGAGACATGATCAATGTCACTGTGCAATTCTGGATTCTGCTCCACTAAATCACACTGAAGTCTGTGGTTTCTCTGCAGGGTTTCCTCCAACATCCCTCCTGATGTTTGAACTCTGGAGCCATTTCTGATACAGATTGTAGAGTAATAGTCATTGTTAATCTGGTAAATAATAGTTCTAGTTTCGTAGATTTTCTGATTTCAGCAATGACCTCGGTCAGATTAGTTTCCAAAGCATAGAAGCTTGGGTAGGTTTACGATCATAAGGTTAGTTATTAAAGAAGGTTGCTTTGAATGGAAAACAGTTTATGTCATTATATGAATATTAATCTGATCTATAATACTATAATCTAACACTGAGACAGTAAACTTTTAAAAGATGGTATGTAAAACAAGCATCAATCGTGGAAAAAATCTGTTTTGATTTTTACTTTTTTTTTAATGCCCATGGTTTTGTTTTTTGTTTTTTAACAGAAAACAAGACATCCAGATGCTGCTAACCAGATGCTCAGTCCTGTAATAATAAAACACGCTGGCGTTTAGAACAGAATCACAAGAGAGCTTGTGTAGCTTCTGTAACGAGCTAAACTGTTTTTAAATGTCTGAACATGATTGCACAAGGGTTTTCTAATCATCAATTAGCCTTCTGAGCCAATGAGCAAACACATTGTACCATTAGAACACTGGAGTGATAGTTGCTGGAAATGGGCCTCTATACAGCTATGTAGATATTGCACCAAAAACCAGACATTTGCAGCTAGAATAGTCATTTACCACATTAGCAATGTATAGAGGGTATTTCTTTTAAGCTAAGACTAGTTTAAAGTTATCATCATTGAAAAGTACAGTGCTTTTCCTTCAAAAATAAGGACATTTCAATGTGACCACAAACTTTTGAATGGTCGTGTACATTTGAAAAAATAGAAAATAAGGTTAAAAGAGGAAGACTAGTTTGTTAATAGGCCACAGAATTTAGGAAAATCCTTAAAAAACTGATTTGCAGATCTTTGTTTTAGATTGTGGTACTAAATATGATGGGACTGGCCCGACCAGGCTGTACACAGGAGGAACCACATTTCTAAATTACATCCTGATATCTTCTGTTCTGTCCTGAAGTACAATCAAACTTGATTGATCTCTGCAATCTGCCCAGAGGACCACCTCACTATTTTCTTCAGACAGCTCAGGATTTCTGATCAAGTCTAAACTGAATCAGTAATACCAGATAAAACTGATTCTACAAGTTTTACACAATGCAAACCAAGGGTATCAAACTCAAGTCACTAAGGGCCGTATCTTGCAACTTTAAAAGATGTCCCTTGTTTAACACTCCTGAATAAAATGGCTGAATTACCTCCTCAGATGCAGTTTAGTTCTCCAGACTCCTATTAATGACCTGGTTGTTTGATCCAGGTCGGTTTAAGGACACACGCATCTTAAAGTTGCAGCAACCGTCTAGCACTGAATTTTGACACCTCTGATGTAAAAGGACAGAGTTAAAGATTAGGATGATGGCAAGGTGGCTTTTCAGCCTCAAAGACATGGAGGTCATCGCAAACGATGAATCATGACTTTCTGCAGCATTGGTTTTATATTCATCCTATCCCATCAGATGATACCTGTATGTGTATTTTATTATCTAATTCCAATTTCTGAAAATTTTGGGTTTTGTTGGCCTCACTAAAATTTTGCCCAAAAAGATCAGAACTGATTCATTGTCATTCATTTTCATCTGCTGCTAACAGAAAAAAAATAACTATTTTCTGTGCCCCATTAAGAAAGCCAACATCTGCCTTCTTGTTCAAAGCAGCTTCCTACTCAACTGAGACGTGAGTGTTAAACCCCCCCCTCTCTTTAGTGCCTTATAACCTTTGATTCCCCCATCCCTCAACCCATAGAATAAAGGTACGGTCTCCAACTGAGCAGATGGGCTGGGGGGTAGTTAACAGATATGGTAAAATGTTCTGTTTGGGAGGTTTCGTACCACTGGATGTTCAGTTGTGCTATAAAGAGACTAAAGGTTTTACTATCTGAATAAGTCATTTTTGATGAGGGCTGTCTAAACAGTTTAATTCTGAAGTATGGCCAATTTGAAGCTATGATTTCGTGGGTTAGAACTTTTTTCTGTTTTAGTTTTTTGCAATATATGATATAAATTGCTTAAACGGAAACATGTCTTCTTCAAATGCCTGATTGTCTTCATTACTGATCCAAAACAATTAAGACGAACCTTTTTCAATCTTTATTTATTTAACTATAAGCTCACATAACAGTGAAAACAGTCTAATGGACTATTAATGGATAGCTCACATCTATAAAAAAAAATAACTTTAAACTCTACTGTAACTTTAAGTCCTGTTGTTATTATTTTTCCTTTTTTTCCCTTCATTTTGTTAATTCTGTCATTTGATTTACATATTTATATCTGGAAATGTTTTGTAAATGTTGTCGTGAATGGCACATCCTTGTTTTTACTTGTCACATCTGTGGAGAAGAAAGGTAGGTGTTCTTCAATGACCTAATTGTTACTCTTGTTACTATCGATGCATTTGTGTGTTGGTCACTACCAGCTATTCTCCTACTGCCATCTCACATCCAGGGACCCTACTGTGGTGGAGGTCTACATATGTTCGGCAGGAGAGAACTGGCACCAAGGCACTAGCATGATAGCCTGGTGAGACCATCCTGATCTCGCGAGCTTTCAAGGTTTCACTCGCAGATCAGTCTGGAGACTCTCCGTTTAAGAAAACTTTTAGCCGTTCACCAAACGAACGTCCAATCAGCGTTGGCTTTGAGGCGGGTTGAGGTGTGACGCAACGAGAAGCGCGACAGTTCAGTCTAAAGAACATGGCGGCTTCAGCCGATGAAACTAGCGTTAGCGTGGCTATCGAGCAAGTTTTATTGGAATTACAGAGTATTTCTTCACTGAAAGAAGAGCAAAACACTGCTCTGGAGGCTTTTCTCAGAGGAAAAGATGTTTTTGCTCTTCTCCCGACTGGTTTCTGCAAGAGTAGCCTGGCTTGTGGTTGTGTTTTCGTCGTCACTCTGTTAGTACGTCATATGCTTCGTTGATCTGATTGGTTTATTTGGCCCGTCTATCACCAACATAGGCCAATCAGCTAACCAGTATTTTCGCCCCTTCCCAAAATTAGTTCAACGGAAGGTTTCCAGATGGATATGCGGAGCAAATCCATCTGGCGGAGTCAGGTTACTAGCATGAATCTCCTGCCCGGAAGCAGCGCCCCAGCTGGCCAAGTGAAAATTAAGTCCTACAATCAAGAAGAAGCAGCAAATGTAGTTCAGTAAGCTAAACTGTGATGTTCTTGGAATGACTGAAGAAAACGGTCGTATATTTTTTGTAACCAGTGCTTTGGTATTACATGAGTCCAACTATGAGAGATTGCTTATCTAAGAATATCTCTTCAGACAGTCATTAATAATGGAACAAACCTTACTAAATATCCAGTATTGTGGACCATTCATGTTCATCTGTAAATATGTGTGTTACTGTAGGTTAGCTGGCCTCTCTTCGATGCAAGTTTGTCCTTGTATGGTGGTTTTTATGTATATCTTTGTTGTACTGTGGTAGACTGATGACCTGTGTATGTATCCCACCTCTACCTAAACAACCCCTGGGACATAGGCAGGTATTTTAATGAATTCTTCATAATAAACATTTAGGATAAGGACTTTTATTAAATGATATTGAAAGAATTGAGTTTGAGTGAGTAGATATTAATATTTCAGATTAAAATTATCTCTAAAGTTTTACTTGAACGCAAACATATGTTGATATGGCATCAGATGACGGACACCCTATTATGGTACATCTACTGGAAAATTACATTATTTTAAGGCCGTATTGCCACTATAATGAGGTTTTAGAATTGCCAGGAAACCTCGTCAATATTATCCAGTGCTTGAAGACCCCCAGAAGCGATGAGGACCCCAACGGTCAAGCCTGGATATGTAGATTGGAGAGGATGGGGGTAGCTGTGTCCAGCCTGAAGCATTCTCCACACCCACTGCTGGCCCTGAACTTCACAGATCTACAACCTCCTCCTCCAAACAAAGGGGACTGAAAGAAGAAAATGTGGGGGCAGGGGTCCTCATTTCATTATGCAAATTTGAACTTTTTTTGAAGACATGTCTGTGTGACATTGAACTTTTAAGTGCTGCGAAACTAAGTTGGAAATGAAAAATATATGCAGCTTTAAAGGTGTCAAGAAACAAAATGCAAATACTTTGCTACTTTACTTAAGTAGAAATTTCGACTATCTATGCTTTACTGGAGTCATTATTTTTTTTAGACAGCTTTTTACTTCTACTCCTTACATTTTTGATATAGACTCATTAGTTTTGTTTCATTTAAGCTCATTTTCATTATGGCCTGTTGGTATTTAAAATAAATCTAAATCATCAAAATGACTTTTTTTATTAAGACGTTTAATTTAATTTCTTTGTGGTTGTTCACCACATACCAAAGATAAATTTGACACTGTTACCATTAGTTATAAAACTAAGAAAATTAAGTATGAGGAAGTTATCATCCAGAATTGTAGAAAATTTTTCCTTTAATGGGGTGGTGCAGTGAAGCTTATATTATTCTAAACTCACATTTTAACTGCATTACTTTTACTTCTATACTTTAAGAAGTTTTAAAAATTGCACTAATACACTTTTACTTGAGTAAAAAGCTTAAGTTCATACTTTAACTTTTACAAAAGTATTTTTAAACAGTAGGATTTATACTTCCACTGAAGTTATATTATATCCACTGAAGTATATTACTGAAGTAATATACATTCATACTTCTCGCACCTCTGTTTAGACTTGATACCTATCAGATCTGTCATTTTCAAAAATACTACTTCCAATTTAACTTGTGATGCATTTGGATTTTACTTCTGTATCCTGAATGTGTTCATCAGAGTAGAAACCAAAACAACAAACTGGAAGAAGTAAAGCATCCACCAATTCCCTGATCAGATTAAGAAAAAGGTTTTCAAATTGGGAATTTTAGGCTTAAAACCTGAAGACTTTGCCTTAAAAAAGGTTTCAAGTTCTAGTCGGTTTGCTTTATTTATATATACTATGGATGTTCCAAAAAGCTTTATCTATTATTGTAAACTCACTATTGTTCATTTTACTTTTCTGGGCTGTAGATGTTTTTGTTAATTTTATGAACAGTCCTTGTCCTTAATAGGCAAATGCTCACAAGGTGATTTGACATCCATATACTATTTTCTTATCTTTAGCAGTGCATATCATATTAATCGAATCAGTAGTCTTCAGCATTCAAATTGCCACTTCTCAGCAAATGGTGAACATTTCTCAAGGATCATGAGAAAGCTTCAGCACTACTAGGTTTAAACGTGGAACCATGCATAAAACCTCAGGTGAGAAAAACTTTAAAAAAAAAACAGCCCCAAAATGGCGCAGTCAGTTTCTGCTGTCATATACCTATTTTATAGGTGAAACGGTTCAGTTTCCTACTCTGAAAAAGACTAGAAAATTTCATCCTAGTTTAGAAAGAAGTGCAGACGCTGTTGAGAAACAACATTTGAATTTGATCGGAAAAAATCTAAACAGAACTTTAAGACCATAAAATTGAACCTTTACTTGGGTTTAAACTCGTGTATCTCAACAGACTTCCTCCAGATTGAGACGTTTGTCTCATTTCTGTGTCCTTGCAGGAAACATCAGCTACCACAGACCCTTTGTCTCCATGCAACCAAAGACTGGGTTAATCAATATTGGACCCAAAGCCTGACGGCGAGGGGTCGGACACAGTCATGGACAGCTGTAGGGGGATTACCCTATAAACACATATCCTTAATAAGGTCTCAGTGTGAGAGCAGACAGGGGGCAGTGTTATGGAGATGAGGGTGTCAAGGTCAAGTCACCGGGGTCTGAGGACTTTTAGGGTTACTATTGTGTCCATACCCTCCCCTCCAGGCTCACACGGCTCTGTTAACGCAACAAAAAAGCAAAGGTCAAAGGTCGGGATCAGTTTTTGTGGCCTCGGTTGAAGACGGATTATCTAAAACCTCACTTCTCCTCTAATAAGAATACGCCTGCATCTTAAATTCGGTCTGTTTATTTTCATCCAATGTATTTATACTCAAAACTCTCTTAAAAGGGAAGACATTTTCATAAGGATTTACCTATAATGGTAAATGTGTTTTAAAACCTTTAAATCCCTCTGTTAGTTTTAAGGTTTAGGTGCCTCAGCTAGTGTTAAACCCACACAAGGTCCAAACCAAAGCCTGTATCGGACATTAACAAAAACCTACTCACACATCATTTAAATTATGAATATTGAGAACCACGGATTTAAGCAGGTTGGACTGGAAAAAAACATTTAATTTAGGATAATTAAAAAAGCAGACAGCAACTCTTATAATGATATTACATGTTTTCACACGCACAAAAAAAAGCATTTCTAAAGATTTTGCAGAATCTTAATAGGTAATTTAGAAAAGATTTATCTGATTATGCCTTTATATAGAAAATATCAGTTTAACTGCATTCAATAGAACATCTACAAATTAAAACTTGTTTAAATGTTTAATTTTACCAATAATTTCACATAGCCAGAATCATATTCAGTATTCAGGCTAAATCAATCAAATTCAAATTTTACGTGGGACCTATTAATAAAGACTTAAAACACAGCAAACAATCAATGACAAAGAGCAAAAAAGTAAAACTGTACTTACTTAAAGCTGACAGACATGTGAGGAGGATAATGTTTTTCATTTTGGTCCTTGACCCTCCAGCCTCCTTGGCATTAAAAGCCTTTGAAACCACAAAAAGCCAAAAGTTGCAAAGTAATCCAACTGGAAAGCCAACTAATGATAAAACCAACTGTACATTCCCTTAATTTAAAGCTAGTTTTGTTTCCATTAAAGCATTACTGATGTTCTTTGGTTCAGCATGTAGCCCTCATAAGGCTGCTGACCATGTCCAAAGCTGCTCTGAGGAATGGATGAGGGAGACACCTAAGCCAGGCCACAGCTCGTTACATATTCAGCCTCATTGTTTTCAGTGAATGGACGGAGGAGCTCACTGACCACTGGTAGGTCAGTACCCTATCAGCCAATCGCAGTGCTATGATCAAGGGGTGGTCGCTACATGGAAAGCCTGATATTCATTTAAAAAGGGGCGCCTAAAGACAGACACCTACCCAACCCCAGAGCCTTTTGAGCCAGCTGGGGCCTGAGCAGGAAGCATCACTCAAAATCAAAGTCTCAGTCCTGGCAGCTTTATTCAATATATTTTGATTTCTAGAAATACAGATTTTTTTAACACAAAACTAACAAAAAATTAACAGTAGTATCTGAAATATAAACCAATAATTTTAAAAGATTCAATTCAGTTCATTTCTATAGCGCCAATTCACAACACATGTCATCTTAAGGCACTTTACAGTTAAACTAGATCATCCAGTCAGATTGATTCAAAGTTTTCTATCTAAGGAAAACCAGCTGATTGCATCGACTCATTGACTCTTCAGCAATCCCTCACACTAAGCATACTTGTAGCGACAGTGGAGAGGAAAAACTAATTTTAACAGGAAGAAACCTCCAGTAGAACCAGGCTCAGTGTGAGCGGCCATCTGCTGAGGCCGACTGAGGTTCTAGGAGACAGAAGCAGACATAGAAAAAGAAGCATAGATACAAAAAGCAGCTGTAAAAGGCGGCGCCGTCCAGGAAACACACAGCCAGGCAGACAAGCTCCGAGCCAGCTCCCATGTTAGAGGATTAAGAGAGCACATCCAGTTAGTCACAGTCAGAGAAACAGGACTACACTGGAAAACAGGCCAAGCTCCAACATCTAGAAACAAAGGTGTTGATGGCAGCAGAACAGCTGATATTTCTCTCCAGGGTGGAGTCACAGCCAAACAGGAACAGACCAGATGAAGCTACTATGAGAAAAGCAGAGAGAGCAGAACGTTAGAGATTGAACTAACAGATTCTGCAGAGTGGGAGAATAGAGATAGAATGAAGCAGAATGATGAACTGGGGGTCCCTATGTCCTCCAGAAGTCTTAACCTATAGCAGCATAACTATAGAGAGGTTCTAGTTCGAAGCTCCAGACCTTGAGCATACCACTGGGAGGCAGAGCTGGAAATCCCTGCTGAAAGCTCTCTGCTGCAGCCAGCCTGTGAGGGATTTCCTGCTGCCGTTCGTAGCAGCTGGAAGTGAAAAGAAAGAGTTTTAACAGAATGCCAAAAGTTTGCGCAGCAGTAATCAAAGCAAAAGGTGGCCACTTTTAAGAACCTAGAATATAAAACATATATTTTGTTGTTTCACAGTTTTTTTTTGTCAAATATATAATTCCACATGTGTTAATTAATAGTTTTGATGCCTTTAGTGTAAATCTACAATTTTCATAGACGTGAAAATAAAGAGAAGTCTTTGAATGAGAAAATGTCCAAACTGTTGGTCTGTAGTGTACACATGGGCGTACGTTTGCATAGGGACCATAGGGACATGTCCCTACCAAAATTTTGGACCGACCTACTTGTTCCTACCAATAATTGGATGTGGACAACATGATTATAATTTACTATACAGCAGTAGTTGTTGCAGCAGTGGCTTCTTTTCCTCTCTCAGCTCCTCTGCCTGGTAGCTGCAGCTGCCTGGTCTCTCCTGTCCCTTTAGACATAGCAGCGCATCAACTGTGCTGCACTGTTTAACTCTCTGATTTTTCTGCCTTAAGTTCCATCTTCTCTCTCTCCGATTGTTTGTTTTCTAGTCTGTATGTGTGCGCGTGCATGCTTGGAGCACGAAAAAAAAAAAAATGATGCTAGAATATGGCGGTTACCAAAATTAATATTAGGCTACATAACTAGTCCCAATTAAAAAACTAAATATTATTTACGCTAAAACAGACGAAAGCTTCTGATTGCAGTTCCGTAAAGAAGCAGGAGAGAGTTTGGATTTGTGGAACTTGAGAAATGAAAGTAACCAAAGTTAGGATTTCTTTCTAAAACTAAATATTCTGAGTCAGACAGGAGTGCAGAAAACTGCTGTTAAAATGAACAAAGACTGTAAACTATCAACATTTCTGATTCCCTTTCACCAATATTTCTTTGCTATTAATGTTTTCATTTTGACGGCAGTTCAGGTATAAATGACAGGTTTTATTTCTTTTGTAGAACATAACAACATGAGAAGGATGCTAAAGATCTGCTACTTTTTGTTTTCCACATAAAAATAGTTCTATCTAGAAATAGGATTTAAGAAAAACAGAGGAACTCTATTTACACTGATTCTATTTTTCTAGATTTCCACACGTCTATAAGTAAATTAGTACATTAGTCTGCTAAATAATGCTTGAATCTGGCTGTTTATTGTGGATACTACTACATTACAGATAAGATAGTGTTATATTGTATTTTTTATTTGTTAAAAGTGATTTTATATTTGAATAAACTAAGGCTTATTCTTAGTGTTGTGTTTGTAGATGATGCCACTAAAAAAGAAAATAGACATTAGGAGCTATTTAAACAGTCAGACAGTGAGCAATATAGGATGATGATAAAAGGTGTTGTTACATTTAATCCTTTAATATTAAAAACACACTTGTATATAATAGAAACATTATATGATTGTAGGAAAGATATAATGATGCAGGGCAGCCTCAGGGTGAAGCAGCTGCCCTTCACTGCTTCATGATGGAAGAAATGTGTTTGGAATGCTATCATAAAATTAGGGCTGCAACAAATGATTATCTTGCAAATTGATTAATCGGTCGATTATTTTTTTCGATGAATCGATTAATAATCAGATCAGTTAAAGGTTCCTTAAAGAAGATTTTTTACAAAATGAACCCAGGTGAAACAGAAACGTTTCTTCTTGAAGGGTTCTGGATGGAGAATTTTGAAGGACAAAAACTTTTCTTTTTTGTCTTAAATGCAAAATGTTTACATATTTTTTACAGTCGTCATATAATTCCTGCTCTAGGTGTGTCGCTCTGTTGACTAAAGACATGTTTTACAGTCTCAATACTCCAGTTAATGATTAATTGATTACTAAATTAGTTGACGATTATTTAAATAATCGATTAATATGATTAATTGTTTCAGCCGTCAATAAAATACATGAAATGGGCGACATAGAGTAACTACAGCCCAGATGCAGAACTTGTATAGTGAAGTTAATATTTTAAATGCTCAGTATCAGTTCCTCGTATAGTTCCAGTGCTCATGTAAATACAATATTTATTTGCTGTCCCTTTAATGTATTATTTTGCAAGATACAGAGAGAACATATTAGATAAAATAAATAAGAGTGGGTTTTACCCCTGTTTACCTCTACACAATTTTATATCTTCAAAAAAAAAAAAAAAAACAGGATAAATCCAAATATAACAGGCATATTTAGACTAAATTTGGTTAAATAGGCGCAGGTAAGTTTAAATGCAAACATTTTCAAAGTGGAAAAAAGTCCTTATTCCACATTTATCAGAGCCAGTGATGCTTTAAGCATTGATAAACAGCATCTAGTGCGTGTAGAGATTATAAGATTTGTATTAACGTAGCAAGAAATGCTGCTGTTCTCTTTAAACAAAATAAGCCCTGATGCTCACATTAACCATAAAAAAAGATCATGCATATTTTTTGTAAAGGACCAATGACATCAGACCAATGAAACTGAAGACCAACAGTGTCCCAACCAAAGTTGAAATCAAACCTACGCCTTTGACTGTACATATGTAAAATGCTATAGAAATAGTTGATCCTAAAAAAGTTATGACAATACATTTAAAAATTTGTTTCACTAAATATCTTTTCTCATCTATCTATTATTCTCAAGCATAGTTTAGTAAGTTATTGGGAACGGACACTTTACTGCACTTAATGTAGCATTTGAAAGCCTTACTTTGAAATTCTTTAAAAATTGTGGCTGCATTCACAATACATAGGCCACATTACTGCTTACCTTTTTTTGTTGTTTTTTTTAATTACATTTTGTTTTTTATATCGCATTTTGGCAGATGTAAATGCGAGTACGTGACATAAACATAACCGGGAAAACTTTTCAATAAAGGTATTTCAAAAAAAGGGAAAATGATCAACCAGGAAGCTGCTAGGCAGTTTAGCCGATTGGACTGGAGGCAGTAGTGGGCGGGACACTGTATTTTGATTGGTTGAGGTCTCCTATTGCTGTTACCTGATTGGTTGATACGTTTTGCTACTGATTCCTGATTGGTTGAGGGCGTATTTCTCTGTGTTTAGATGTTTCTACAGTTTAGCGATAACCCTCACCGAAAGAAATCTCCTCCCGTATGCGCATTTTCACCAGTCAAATAAGCAAGTATTGCAGTCTGTTTGTTGCTGTTTGTTATTAAAGTAGTAATTACTATTTATTTATAAGCAGAGGTGTTTGCGTCTTTTCTATTTAGACGCTTAAACGTAAACAACCGATAGGTGACGGGTCATCAGCAGCTAGCTAAACAGCTAACAGCTAACATCCTTCTGAAACATTCCGCAACAGCACTCAGCTAACGGTGACTAAACGCGTTACACGGTGATCGGTGTAACGCGTTACACCTTTAATTCATGACGTTTGTTCCAATTTCTGTATTAGCGGTTGTTTGTTATTGCTACATGTAATAGCAGGATACTGAATGTTTGTCAGAATTAAACACTTTTAATTTTAAACTCTGAGACTGACAGCATGATAACAGGAATAGATTAGTAATCTACCGAGGCTTAATCCTGGATATGTCATACTAGCTGGTTTGTAGCACCTTGTGTTACCTCCACATTCTTTTGATTGTTTTTATTATTGTTATTTTTGCAGGTTTATCTTCCATTTGAGGAAACTACCAGTCTGGAAAGATGTCTTACGGGAAAGCAGAGTTCCGCCCTGTCCTCAGAGACTTCAACTCTCTCATTCAGACATGCAGCTCAAACATCCAGAAGATCACACAGAACAGTAAGAGGGGTTTATTTTTTCTCTCCTTGCTGTCATGACAAACAAAGCTGTGTTTTTACTCATGTGCTCAGTAACTAATCATGAGACAATGTTCTCTGAGAGCTTCCCTGTGCTTTCTGTTATGCAGAAAATCTTTTAACATCAAAACTTTTTGGGTGTTTTCTGCTTCGGTGGATTTAACTCTTAATAACTGAAGCAGAAAAGATAAACTTGAGTTTAGAGTTTTCTTGGTTATTTTATATGAGAAAGGCTCTCGGCAAAACAAATTCAGAGCTGGCCTGATCACCAGCTAAGCTCAGCGTGTCATAAGACACACAGTAGGACCCCTAATCTAATGGGACTTCCCTCTCGCACCAGTTTTTTTCCCCCTTCTTGGAAAAATGTATCTGTAAAGATTATTGTTGAAGCTTGGCTCAGTTGTTTGCTAACCTAAAAAAAAAAAGATTTTTAACTGTTCTCAAACTTTTGTTTAGGGCTGAAAGTTTGTAATGAACTGACTAATTACATTCTATTCAGAGAGGACTAACATTGAACTACAGATTAGCAGCATGCTAAGTTTTCTCTTTCATTTATTGTGGGATTGTTGTTGGAACCAACTGTACTCAGAATCAGAAGATTCCGTTACACATCGCCTAAACTATATTTCCAGTAAAGTTGGTGTTTTTCTGAGGTAGATATATGGAGAACTCCATCTCTGTACAGAAGAGGATTAGGGCCACTGAAAAAAAAAAAAGTTAACTGATTTTTACATTTTATTTCAGTTTAATATGGGAAAAAAGTCAGAATTCTGACTTTTTTCTCAGAATTCTGACAGATAACAAACATGTTAGCATCAAGCCGTATCAATGTCTGTTTTAGAGACTAGCTCTCTTGTTTTGATCACCTTCTGCTCCTCCATTAATGAGGGGACCCCTCGGGCACGTAAAAAGTCGCCTAATTCCATCATTTCCCACCAATGTGTTCCTGTTCCTCCCAAACAACTCACATCTTTGTCAGTGAAGCTGAGTGCTCCCACATCTATGCCTTCATGGTGCCCATCTACATTAAGATCCAAAATTCTGAGAAAAGTCAGAATTCTGAGAAAAAAGTCAGAATTCTGAGAAAAAAGTCAGAATTCTGAGAAAAAAGTCAGAATTCTGAGATTAAAGTCAGAATTCTGAGAAAAAAGTCAAAATTCTGACTTTTATCCCCATACTAAACTGAAATAAAATTAAAAAATCAGCTCACTTTTTTATTTTATTTTTTTCCAGTGGCCCTAATCCTCTTCCGTACGGTCTTTGTGTATATCATTGAAGTTTTCCCAGGGTTTCCGTGGGTCATTAAAAATCATTAAAAGTCGTTAAATTGTTATTTTTTAAATTAAGGCCTTAGTTGGCATTAAAATTCGTTAAATGTGTTTATTGTGGCATTTAAAATGCTTTCTTAAAAAAAAAAAAAATGTACAAAAACAATTTCGTCAGACATATTATATCACGATATATTTGCGTGGAACTTCATCCGCTTGATCGCAAAGACGTATGTATGCCAGTTTCAACAAAAGTGGTTGGAAAATGAGGAATTCGGGGCTGCAGCCTGTCGACTGGTTGGTGGCATTAAAATTATTTCTAAGAGCATTAAAAAGCATTAAATTAGAGTTATTCATTCCTGTATAAACCCTGTTCCCTTACTTCTCTGCTCTAGCAGTGCTGGGGTTCCCAGGGGGGTTCCTAATCATAGTCTGTTTTTATTGGGTTGAACAGGTTGGGACGTCTGCCTCTCTTTGTATCTCTACCTTCTGCGCAAACACATTCACCTAACTACAGTACAGCCTCTGGGTAGGGTTCCCAACATGTGGTGTTTCAAGCAATTTCATGGGTCTGACAGGAAAAGAGACGCAATTACAAAGTGAAACACATCCGCTTTGGAGGAAAATACAAAATATATCTGTTAATCTCATGGGGAAAGAGTCAGTTTGGAGTCACACATCGCGTTTATAGTAAGCAGGACAGACTGGAGCAAAAACAATGAATGAAACATTAAGATAGCAAACTTTAATCGGGAAAGCAGGACAGAAAAAGGATAAAAAAGGATCCTCTTTGAGCCTCACAAAAAAACAAAATAAGGACAGACAGAGCAGGTGAGCGCAGCGTATCTCTCGCACCTCTTTATGAAAAAAAAAGAAAGGAAAACTGTGATCAACTTCCCAGATCTCTCTGAGAATCACCTCTCTGCCTCAGTCACCATAGAAACCGTCCCACAGCGTTAATCGCTGCGTTTTTCTTCTCTATAGACGTAGATCTCATTATGTTTTTAATAGATGAACATTCTCTATCTGTTCTGGTTCTAGATGCTGCACAGACTCGTTAAGTGGAGCTTTGCTTTATAGAATCCGTCGGTGGTTTTTTTTTTTTATTTTAAATTTTTCCTAATCTGTTCCAGTCAAATGTGGGAAATTTGTGTATAGTGCAGAGACAGAGGTGAAAAGAATCTGCATATATCTGCTAACCCTGTCTAGTCAGAGCCTTTCTACACGCAGTCAATGTGACATGGGAAAAAATTCGTGCAAGGTGTGTTCAGGGTTAAAGATCTGTTGTATTATGGGCTCACATACATAGGTCTGACTATTCTTTTAAACTAGCATCCTCTGGCGTCTATAGGCATGAGAGGGGGGAAGACTACCTGCAAATTTTGAATCCAGTAAGACTCAAATATGTAAAAGTCACCATCCAGGAAAAATACTTGGTAAAATGGCTGCTGAGACTGAGAAAATGTTGGCTTATTACATCTGATTAAATTTTTTTAATAAGTCAGACAGTTATATGCAAACTCTGCTTATTCAAACTAATAAAACTGATGTTAAAGTACCATTCAAAAACACAAAACAAAAAAAATTACACTTGTAACATATTATCTCAATATAAACTTAGAAACCAACCTTAGCAGCAGCTTATGTTTATTTAGGAAAAGATAAAACCTTCAGCTGTAGATCTACCATTTACTGTATTTTCAGCTGATCTCCAAATTGCTCACATTAGTTGGATATAATTAAACAGAACATTTATTTAAGAATGTTTGAGAATGTTTCTAGAATATTACTTAAGTTAATGTAAAACTTATGGTAAAGCATAACTACTCCATCTAACATTTTCTATAATGTACTGAAATAAATGTAACTACTTACTACCATCCTGTTAAACACTGATAAGTTCTGCCTTTATTCACTAAGCTTGGCCTTGTGTTTTTCTTATAGCCGCTCAGATCAAGACCATGGTGAACCAGTTGGGGACCAGGCAGGACACCACTGAACTTCAAGATCGGCTGTACGTACCCCCTTTCTTCAGTAACTGTCCTCTTTTCACCTTAAGCTGTCCAAAAAACAGTGACGCTTTACTGTCTTTTGCACCATTTGCACCCCCCCCCCCCCCCCCCTCTGAAACAGGTTCGTCCAGAGTTCAGACCAATGCTTGGATCAGTTAACTGCTGCGAGCTTGGTTCTTACTAGGGGTGTAAATCACATCCATCATGGCGATTTGATTCAGTATCGATTTCCTGACCCAATGTTTCGATTATTTTCCATACTTAAGAATACACCACGATACGATTCGATTAATTGGTTCTTTTTTTTCACACCTTACAGACTAGACAATGTTTCAAAATGGAAATAAATCAATTAAAGCTGTAATATACAGGTGCTGGTCATAAAATTAGAATATCATGAAAAAATAGATTGATTTCAGTAATTCCATTTAAAAAGTGAAACTTGTATATTATATTCATACATTACATACAAACTCATATATTTCAGATGTTTATTTTGTTTAATTTTGATGATTACAAATGACAACAAATGAAAATCTCAAATTCATCATATCAGAAAATTAGAATATTACTGAGACCAATAAAAACAAAGGATTTATAGAAATGTTGGCCAACTGAAAAGTATGAACATGAAAAGTATGAGCATGTACAGCACTCAGTATTTAGTTGGGCCTCCTTTGGCCTGTATTACTGCAGCAATGCGGCGTGGCATGGAGTCGATCAGTCTGTGGCACTGCTCAGGTGTTATGATAGCCCAGGTTGCTCTAATAGTGGCTTTTAGCTCTTCTGAATTGTTGGGTCTGGTGTATTGCATCTTCTTCTTCACAATACCCCATAGATTTTCTATGGGGTTAAGGTCAGGAGAGTTTGCTGGCCAATTAAGAACAGGGATACCATGGTCCTTCAACCAGGTACTGGTAGCTTTGGCACTGTGTGCAGGTGCCAAGTCCTGTTGGAAAATGAAATCTGCATCTCCAAAAAGTTGGTCAGCTGCAGGAAGCATGAAGTGCTCTAAAACTTCCTGGTATGTGGCTGCGTTGACCCTGGACCTCAGAAAACACAATGGACCAACACCAGCAGATGACATGGCACCCCAAACCATCACTGACTGTGGAAACTTTACACTGGACTTCAAGCAACGTGGATGAAGTGCCTCTCTTCTTTTCCTCCAGACTCTGGGACCTTGATTTCCAAAGGAAATGCAAAATTTACTTTCATCAGAGAACATGACTTTGGACCACTCACCAGCAGTCCAGTCCTGTTTCTCTTTAGCCCAGGCAAGACGCTTCTGACGCTGTCTGTGGTTCAAGAGTGGCTTGACACAAGGAATGCGACAGCAGAAACCCATGTCTTTCATACGTCTGTGTGTGGTGGTTCTTGAAGCACTCACTCCAGCTGCAGTCCACTCTTTGTGAATCTCCCCCACATTTTTGAAGGGGTTTTGTTTCACAATCCTCTCCAGGGTGCGGTTATCTCTCTTGCTTGTACACTTTTTTCGACCACATCTTTTCCTTCCCTTCGCCTCTCTATTAATGTGCTTGGACACTGAGCTCTGTGAACAGCCAGCCTCTTTAGCGATGACCTTTTGTGTCTTGCCCTCCTTGTGCAAGGTGTCGATGGTCGTCTTTTGGACAACTGTCAAGTCAGCAGTCTTCCCCATGATTGTGTAGCCTATAGAACTAGACTGAAAGACCATTTAAAGGCTTTTGCAGGTGGTTTGAGTTAATTAGCTGATTAGAGTGTGGCACCAGGGGCCATCAATTTTGAACCTTTTCACAATATTCTAATTTTCTGATATGATGAATTTGAGATTTTCATTTGTTGTCATTTGTAATCATCAAAATTAAACAAAATAAACATCTGAAATATATGAGTTTGTATGTAATGTATGAATATAATATACAAGTTTCACTTTTTAAATGGAATTACTGAAATCAATCTACTTTTTCATGATATTCTAATTTTATGACCAGCACCTGTAGTTATGCATTTTTCTTTTGAGAAACTACAGCAAAAAACAGAAGTAGAAAAGTTGTATCAAAAAATACTGCAGAAAATCAGTGCAATGCAATACCTCGGCTCCAGACGCCCTACTATTATGTAAACAAAAATGGTGGCGCATATAACAGTCAGGAACTTATGTTTGTTTATATTGGTTATATTTCGTTGCCTGCGGAATGTCAGGCGAAGAAGGCATCCTTCTCGGTCTCGGCCTTATCTCAGTCTTAATTTAATTAGACCATCGCTGACCAGCTTTTAGCCAGCTTCCATTCATGGTGATGGGCATTGAAAAGATACACCTTATTTTGCAAACTATGTGGAGCTGCTACCTCATATGTTTAATGAAGCTCTTCCTGTTTCCACAGGCAGCAGATACAGCACTACACCAATCAGCTTGCTAAAGAAACCAACAAGCACCTGAAAGAGTTGGGCTCCGTCCCTCTGCCATCATCACCCTCAGAACAAGTAGGTGCCAGGTTGCATTTGCCCGTACGTCAAGCGCTTCTTTAACACTGATTTCAACTTTTCTTTTTTGTAAAGTAGGATAACGAGGGACATGTTGCATGAGATGTGGACGGTTTGTGTTTATTTCACCTGTTATTGCTTCATGTTAATGACATCCAATTGTTCCCAGAAAGACCAGATAATGATGCAGAAGTCAGAGCTTCAAAAACGGAACCAAACCCACATTTCTGTATTAACTCTATGATTCCTGCTTCAAGAAGCAGATGTGTTTCTCCGTTTGAATTAAAATTTTAAACTATTGTACACACTTTGTAAAATTATGCAAATCAAGTCATAAAACAAAGTCTACGACAATAAATAGAATAGGATAGCATAGAATACAGGGGTTGACGTTAAGGATTTTTACCACTTGCCCTTTGTGAATCTCACATTTATGTTTGATAAATATAGTTCCTAATATAAAGTTTTGTATATATATATCAATGAAACATGTTTGTTTTTTAAATGTTTTTTGTAATTCAGTATTTTTTAAGTTTCCAGGTTCCTGGTGTGTATCTGCATGCGTCAGATAATGAACTCAAGCCTACATTACCGTGTTAACATGCTTTTCAATCCTTCCTGCACATTCTTTTCAAACTAAACTTTGCTTTAAACTGTTGTGTGCTTGGAAAAATATAAATTGTAATGTTAAAAATCTAAAAAAAACTTGACAGGTTAAAAAAAAACTTGATGGGTTAAAAACTTAAGATAAATCACAGACAGAAATCAATGTCACAAATGAATAACTTTTATTTTAGAGTCACGGTTTATATAAGATAATACTATTAATATAATGTGACTTTTCTAGAGAATCATTATACATAGTTATTTTATTCAGGGTTTCCACAGTCTGACATCATTTCAGAATTCCCTGACTTTTAACTGACTCAGGATTAGTTTTCCCTGACAAAATAAATGCAGCAACAAGACAATAATAATAACATAACAGGTCACCAATCTAACATGTTTAGCTCTATAACATTTAAATGCACCTCTCCAATGTCTGAGAGAAAAAAATTTAATGAACAGAAGACTGCCATATGATAGCATTTTCTAGCTTGGTTGTCGTTTTGGTAACTACATCAATATCCCCGCTAGGTGGAAAAAAATCAACCGGCTTTTTCAAATCATGCGAGAATGTGTACAAAACAACAAAAATGGTGCCGGCAACGCTTCTGGGTCGTTTTCATCGAATGTTGGTGATTTTAATTTAATTTTGAGTGATAATTTTTTTTTTTTTTTTTTTGCGATTTTTTTCCGAAACAATAAAAACTACTTGCCCCGGGAGATCGGGCGATGGTTAACATCGAGCCCTGGAGTAGAATAGAAAATCCCTTTTTTGTTCCACTATGGGGAAATGGTGGCATTAAAGCAGCAAAAAAAATAAATAAAATATATATATACAGGTGCTGGTCATAAAATTAGAATATCATGAAAAAGTAGATTGATTTCAGTAATTCCATTAAAAAGTGAAACTTGTATATTATATTCATACATTACATACAAACTCATATATTTCAGATGTTTATTTTGTTTAATTTTGATGATTACAAATGACAACAAATGAAAATCTCAAATTCATCATATCAGAAAATTAGAATATTGTGAAAAGGTTCAAAATTGATGGCCCCTGGTGCCACACTCTAATCAGCTAATTAACTCAAACCACCTGCAAAAGCCTTTAAATGGTCTTTCAGTCTAGTTCTATAGGCTACACAATCATGGGGAAGACTGCTGACTTGACAGTTGTCCAAAAGACGACCATCGACACCTTGCACAAGGAGGGCAAGACACAAAAGGTCATCGCTAAAGAGGCTGGCTGTTCACAGAGCTCAGTGTCCAAGCACATTAATAGAGAGGCGAAGGGAAGGAAAAGATGTGGTCGAAAAAAGTGTACAAGCAAGAGAGATAACCGCACCCTGGAGAGGATTGTGAAACAAAACCCCTTCAAAAATGTGGGGGAGATTCACAAAGAGTGGACTGCAGCTGGAGTGAGTGCTTCAAGAACCACCACACACAGACGTATGAAAGACATGGGTTTCTGCTGTCGCATTCCTTGTGTCAAGCCACTCTTGAACCACAGACAGCGTCAGAAGCGTCTTGCCTGGGCTAAAGAGAAACAGGACTGGACTGCTGGTGAGTGGTCCAAAGTCATGTTCTCTGATGAAAGTAAATTTTGCATTTCCTTTGGAAATCAAGGTCCCAGAGTCTGGAGGAAAAGAAGAGAGGCACTTCATCCACGTTGCTTGAAGTCCAGTGTAAAGTTTCCACAGTCAGTGATGGTTTGGGGTGCCATGTCATCTGCTGGTGTTGGTCCATTGTGTTTTCTGAGGTCCAGGGTCAACGCAGCCACATACCAGGAAGTTTTAGAGCACTTCATGCTTCCTGCAGCTGACCAACTTTTTGGAGATGCAGATTTCATTTTCCAACAGGACTTGGCACCTGCACACAGTGCCAAAGCTACCAGTACCTGGTTGAAGGACCATGGTATCCCTGTTCTTAATTGGCCAGCAAACTCTCCTGACCTTAACCCCATAGAAAATCTATGGGGTATTGTGAAGAAGAAGATGCAATACACCAGACCCAACAATTCAGAAGAGCTAAAAGCCACTATTAGAGCAACCTGGGCTATCATAACACCTGAGCAGTGCCACAGACTGATCGACTCCATGCCACGCCGCATTGCTGCAGTAATACAGGCCAAAGGAGGCCCAACTAAATACTGAGTGCTGTACATGCTCATACTTTTCATGTTCATACTTTTCAGTTGGCCAACATTTCTATAAATCCTTTGTTTTTATTGGTCTTCAGTAATATTCTAATTTTCTGATATGATGAATTTGAGATTTTCATTTGTTGTCATTTGTAATCATCAAAATTAAACAAAATAAACATCTGAAATATATGAGTTTGTATGTAATGTATGAATATAATATACAAGTTTCACTTTTTAAATGGAATTACTGAAATCAATCTACTTTTTCATGATATTCTAATTTTATGACCAGCACCTGTATATATATATATATATATATATAAAATATAAATGAATATAATACTATAGTGCAGCGGTCCCCAACCACCGGGCCGGTACCGGTCCGAGGGTCATTTGGTACTGGGCCTCACAAAAAAAAAAAAAAATGAATAAATAAAAATACATTTTTTTTATTTTGAAAAATATAAAAAATTGCAGTATTCTCTCCCAATTACGTCAGTCGGTTCATCTGTGCCTCTTGACACAGGTTAATTCAGTTCCAGACTCATCCTATCTATAACATCCTATCTTTCTGCGGTTACAGCGACCAAAACAAAGCCACAGAGCAGACTGGACATGGTGGGGGTGGGGGTGGGGGGGGTTGGCGTTTGGTGTTGGTTAAATACGATCAAGTAAAAAACAGTCCGTGAAAATATTGTCTGTTATGTAGCGGTCCGTGGTGCAAAAAAGGTTGGGGACCGCTGCTGTAGTGTACAGCGTTTTTACAATTTAACTACTGTGCATCTGGAGAATAAATATTCAATATACAGCTGTGGGCATTTTGACAGTAGTGAATATGTGAAAATAGCAGCTTGTTATTTAACTCACTAAGACAGAAACTGTGCAAAAATCAGCATGAATGTATATTTATTTGTGGTAATAGCTTTTATAGTGAAAGTTATTATAGTTGGGGTCCTTTAGTTTCCCACCACCTGAGGGCATTCAATCACAGAGCTGGCCTTCCTGATCAGCTGATCCAGCTGCTTCCTCTCAGCTACAGATAAGCCACTGCTTCTCCACTCCAAAAAACGGCTCCATAGATGATGGCTGATGCCACAACAGAGTCATAGAAGGTGTTTAGGAGCGCTCCAGAAGACCTCAGTCTCCTCAGCAGGAAGAATCTGCTCTGATCCTTCTTATACAGAGCCTCAGTGTTGTGACTCCAGTTTGTTATTCAGCTGAACACCCAGGTACTAATTAGAGTCCACTATCTCAGTGTCTGTTCCCTGGATGTTCACCATGTCAGTGAGGAGGATCTGCTTCTACGGAAGTCCACCACTAGCTCCTTGCTTTCCCTGCATTAACCAGGAGGTGGTTCTGCTGACAGTCCTCTGTCTGTCCACGTCCCCACCTGTGAGGAGGCCAGCTATGGCAGAATCCTCAGAGAACGTCTGGAAGTGGCAGCGTGGGGAGTTGAAGGACTTGATTTGTCACTGCTGTCATTTTGATTCCAGCAGAAAAGAGAGCAGAAAGATCCTCCATTTTAACGCATCAAATAATTTATGCTTTAGCTTTTTCAGATTTTTATCATCTCTAGAGATAAGTCTTATTGTTTTATGCATTTATGAACTGGAAAATGTGATACATCTACCAAAAAATGTCAGCTGTTAGATATAATTAAAGAAAATCGACTTATTTCGACTCCTGAATGGTTTATATGTTCATCTTTTCTTGCAGTCTGACCTTATGTAGTTTGAGCATCTCATTAACAATGTTTCTTCCATCGTGCTCAGGAAGACTTTGTGTACTTAGCAGGAATAAACCCTTTTCCTGTTCAGGAAGTATAATGATCAAATTTTAAATGCTGAAAATAACATTTTGCAAGAATTTAAATAAACATATCTCATTGAGGCTCAAGATTAATAACTACTTCAACATGTATTTTCAATCCAAAATGAAAGTTCTTTTTCTGTTTGTATTTATCTGATTAGCATAAATCCCCTGGAACAGATAAAAATGTAATATTTTGTTGATCCTTTGTCGTCCAGAGGCAGCAGAAAATCCAGAGGGATCGGCTCATGAATGACTTCTCTGCAGCTCTCAATAACTTCCAAGCTGTCCAGCGGCGCGCAGCAGAGAAGGAGAGGGAATCGATAGCGAGAGCGAGGGCTGGTTCCCGCCTATCAGTAAGTGAGACGCAGAAGTAGTTAAACACATTTTACAGGGCTGCAAGAACAATCTACACCCTATTAAAATCACTTATCATTAATTTGCATATCGTAACCAGTGGTGGATCAAAGTACATGTACTTTATTACTCTATTGTGCTGTACTGTCTTCCTTTTTGGCTCAGCGTAGCTTTTTAATCCACTGTTGCTGTTTTTCTTTCTTGAAATGCAGTTTCATCATAGCAGATAGCAGCTCTTTAATTAAACCTGGACTTCATTGTTTTACAGATTTAATTCCACAGATGTGAGAAACTCAGAGCAGATATTATTTATAGTTTATAAATGATATCAAAGCTTTAGTTGTGGCCATGTGACCAAGTTGTTCAGAAGGATGAATTTTAAAGTTGTGGTTTATTTGTGGTAAAAGCTTTTACAGTGAAAGTTTGAGGAAAATCAAGACTCGCCTGTTTTCTCTTTGGTCTGTTTTTGAATAATAAATGAAGACCAAAATAGATGTCCTTATATTTTTGTTTTTGCATTTTAATGCTGAAGTTCTTTCCAGGTGGTGTAGAATCTATAACAGGCAGTTCTACGCATCAATACATCAGGTGGTATCTGAAAGTTACAGGTTCTTTAAAATTACTCTGAAAATTGGAAAGAAATGTACTGATATTAGAAATTTGATTTATATTTTTGAATACTTAAATACTTTTAAAATTGAGTACTTTAATACTTTATCTTGAGTAGATGTTTGACCAAGTAACTTTTACTTCTAGTTGAGTAAGATTTGACTACGATTATCAATACTTTTTACAATCCTTTAAATACTTCGTCCACCACTGATAGTAACATGCATCCAACATATAGTCCCAGCATCAAAGGCTTTAAAGGAAAAGTCTGATCAGCAAGAAATCATCAATGGATCATTATCTATCCCTAAAATCAGTAATCAGTAAAAAAATAAAAATAAAAACAATCATTTTCTCTGCGATCACTGAGTCTGGGAGCAGCCATTTTTGCCCAAATATAGTAACCCCTCCCTCCTGCCAACTTCCAGCAGTGACGTCACGGTGCGGTAAGCCTAGCGCCATTCTCCCCGCTTTACAAGCTAAATCAATGGGAACTACTAGACACATCTGCAATCAACAACAATTATTGAAGATTTCCAGAGGACTTCACCACGATCACAAATGAAGTCAAAGTAAAATATTAAAATGCTTGAAATCTTTAAATATTTGTGAACTTTAACCTTATTTTCTCTTCATTTTTGTTTTTCAGCTTATTTTCTGTTGAAGTATCCGATAATTATAAGTTATGTTGACCTACCCCTGAAATAGCTGCTTTAAACTTTTCTTACAGGCTGAAGATACTTTTCGAGATGAAAAGCTTGTCTCCTTTGATAAGTAAGTTCTTCTCCTGGAAGTACATGTAATATACAGCATTTCCACACGTATTTTGTTCTTTTATTTTAGTTATTTAAAACAGAAAATTCACTAATTTATGTTCCCATAATTGAACAGAATCATAAGTGCAAACTAAAATTTTCACATTTAATTGTTAACATGCATAATAATCAGTTAAAGATTAAACAAAAACTGATTTTGATATTGTTTTGTGTTTTGATTGAGCATCAAGTCCTGCTGTGAAGCCTTTGCTCTGTTCATCTCACATGAGCTGAAATAGTTCAAAATATAAGAGTTTATTAACAAAAATTCAGCTCCAAGTCAAACATATTTCAGTTTAACACTCAACTAAGTCTAGTAAAACTAAACTAAACTAACTACTATGTACAAAGAGGAAGGGGAAAACGGTTGAAAACTAGATTACAGTTTAAGATGGATTCTGTGTTTGAAACCAAAGTTTATCTGGAAGAATTTGGGATATGATCAAATTAGCTTTTCACTAATTTGAAAGAAATTGGAATGTTTTCAGACCAATTCACAATGCAAATCCATGAGGTGAATAAACATTATTTGACCAAATAATGTTTTATTAAATGATTTGCTTAATCAAGAACCAAAAACATTTAGTTAATGATTTTTACCCTCTTTGAAATAGCTAGCAAGGAATAGACATCAGGATTCCACTAAATGACTCTTGGTCATACTTGGTAATGGAAATGTAATGAGCATCTGAGGAACACATGAACACTAATGTTATATCAGTGTTTAAACCCTTAGTGAATTAAAGCTTGTCCAAGCTTCAACAACAGCTCAACATGTTTCTGTATAGCATAGCGTAGCATGGAGTCCATCCTGTTAGCTTGTATTTACTTATCAGTAAGCACATAAAAGGATCAACATTATCGAGAGACATATTGTTTGTTCTATCCCTAATCATGCCAGACCTGCAAACCTTTTTTAATGTCCATTTAGAAGGCTTGAGTTTCATCCAGCTGCAGCTCAGCAGTCAGGGCAACAACCAGGGGTTCTTTGTCTCAGTGGATCACAGCAGGGGTCCTCTTTCTCTCCTGTCTGGCTCTATAAGTTCTGAAACTCGAGAGAAATGTGTTGCAAAAGGTCTGTTTTGCAGCAGTTTGGTTCTGAAAGGTTACCACAATGACCCATCCTTGATGACTCTGGAGATCTGGGTCCCCTTGGGCAAACAGGGCTCCAGAAGTCCCCCAGCTGATATTCACCACAGCTGCGTGTTCTCCTCTCGTCATCCTGCCAAAATGAAATACGGACGCTGGTTCCCAATTACCATGATCATGCATATGGCACAGCATTAACTTAAAATGCCGAAATCTGCCGGCAAAGCATGTTCACCTTTTATATCCTGGTGTCTGCAGTTAGGATTAAGTAAAAAAAAAAAAAAAAAAAGCCCTTCCAGCCAGTCGCCTCTGCTGCGGCAAACCACGAGGAGGCGACTGGGCCAGAAGCTTTTTGTTGAATGGGATTTCTAGTGACAGCGCACCACCGGTGTACGGTGGTCTGAGCGGCTCCGACAGAAATAACATTTGAAGGCAGGATGGTAATCTGGATGAACTGACTGCACTGATGATACTTTTAGGTGGATTTTCTCACTTTAAAATAGATTCAAACTACTTTTTACCCGCTGATCACAGCTAATATAGCTGCCATTGTTACAGGCTGAGAAAGGATAGGGTAGCTCCTCCCAACGCGCATCAGACCCACTTTTTCCAGCACACAGCTAGAGCAGCAGCCTGGATTTTTGTTGACTACAGTGCAGCAAGTCTCCAGATATCAGCTTAAAAACTTTATAAAAGACTACAACCTTAGTGTGAATGGAACCTCAGAGCTTTTATACACATTATCTAATGCATAGACTACACTGTATCTTCAAGTGGTTTCGGCTAAAATCTTTCACTTTATAGATTGAAATTAAATCGATGTTCTGTCTCAAATATTTCATTATCATTACCTCTGACGGCCTGGTGGGAAAATAATTCGCTCTTCAATTCCTCCAAGCAGACAAATAAAAGGGCTCCTAACTTAACATATTTTATGGAAAGGATTTCATACAATTTAATATATAAAAGAATCCATATGGTATCGTAAAACTGAATTATTGAACTTTGACCAACTAAAATCAATTATGCAGTCCACATTTAGGATTAAACTAATTAAACAACTCTCCTCCAAAACAGCTAACTTCTTTAAACTTCACAAAACAAACTTACTCTCTAAAACCTACAGGTTTTTACTATTTTACCAGAAACAAAGCTTTGGTTGGTCTACTAATAATTTTATAGCAATTTAAGGTATATTTTGCACTCATTGAAGATTTTTACATGGTAATGCTCCTACAGAGCGTATGTTCAACGATTAGAAGTCATTATTATTCCAGGTGTTCATTATTCTATGCTGTATTTGTTTATTAAAGCCAAGAGGACCTCGGTCCAATTACCACCCAGACTGAAGAAGTGGGCATTACAGAGGAGGACCTGGAGCTTATTAAGGAGAGAGAAACCAACATTAGACAGCTTGAGGTGAGTTCTTCATTTCTTAGGTGCGAATGTGATGGAAAACCTGCAGATGACTTAATAACTCTTTATAGGGCAAGTTACCCTTTTTTGGTCTTGGATATTATGTTACCTACTGTAAATTAAGTTGTGGAAAAATAAAAAAAGTTAAAAAGCTATTTGAACAGTTAAAAAGTAATGTTCAGAAGTTGAAAAGTAAAAAAGTAAGTGCCTGTATCAGCATTATTGATCGAAGTTTCATTTATATCTAAATAAATATGTTTTTCCTGAATGTCTTATGGAATAACTTTTAAAATGTATTTCTTTACATATTAGAGAAAATTACTTATTATTACATTAAGTTTTATTTTTGCCATCAATATATTTTTAATGTTACAAAAGTAATAAGGTCTCGCCAAATAATTCATAGCTAAAATGTTTGATTCTCAAAGTATTTCACAGAAAACCCTATAAAGCAAACACTATAATAAATTATTTTATGAAATAAGTGTCAGCTAAAAATAATTAGAATGAGGACTGCTAACATATGAGACTCGTTGCTTTGCTGTTTTTTTTTTAGTCTGACATCATGGATGTAAACCAGATCTTTAAGGACTTGGCAGTAATGATTCACGACCAGGGAGAGATGATTGGTGAGTACCGCTGGCAGACACTCAACTCACAACAATGCGAGAACAGACTCGTGTCCTCACAAGTATGTTCTTGAGAAGAACACAGGAAAGTGTGGACTTGGGGAAACGGGAGCACGGAGCATAAATACGGGTCAATTGGAACAGAAGCGTACTGATGACATCACCGCATGCCCGGCTCGTCTGGAGCTGCATTTCACCTCCTGTTATTGATAGTCTATAGATAATAATAAATTCTTACTTTTTTCATTTATTGGGGCAATAATAATGAGCACAGTCAGATAAACACAAATACATTTTTGCCAAATAAAACAAAAACATCCCCATCAGAGCCAGCTGTACTTCACACACGGCTATGCAGAGAGAGGGCTAATGCAGACGGGCTAACATTAGCCCAGGCTAATGCAGCAGAGGGCTGTCTGCATTAGCCTGGGCTAATGTTAGCCCAGGCTAATGCAGACGGGCTACCTTTGGCCATGATGTGTATGCCCTCGTTTGAACAATTTAAAAATGGAAAAAATCGTACTTGTCAGGATGGATTTCTAACTGGCACCCCTACAATAAACAATAAGAAAAAAAACACTTAAAAATTTAATTAATAAACCTTGTAAAGCCATCACAATGTAACCAGATGGACAGTTAAGTGCAGAATCTGTTATTTTAGTAAAAAAAAAACAAAAAATGAAAATAAAGAAATAAACAAAACAGCAAATTCAGGCAGAAAAAAAATACTTTTTCAAAGAACTGTTTTTCTACATAACCTTTTAAAACCAATCTTTTTAGGACGTACGCCTCTTTGTTCAGAAAGGATATAGAACTTCCATTAACTGTTTATTTTCACCTGATCAATGAATAATACGTTATGGTCGGTTGAGCAACCAGGAAATGTACTGAAGTAAAAGTAAAAACTACTGTAAAGTACAACTTTTACCAAGAGAACATTTTTTTCTGATGTAACTGAGTAAATGTAATTAGTTACCACCCTCCTCTGGTTCAAAGTAATTACAGATCAGACCTTTAATCTTTTATTTCCATACGTTTCTCATCCAATCTCTTCCTATGCCTCTTGCACTGCAGACAGTATTGAGGCCAATGTGGAGAACGCCGAGGTTCATGTAGAACGGGGAGCAGAACAGCTGCAGAGAGCCGCTATTTACCAGGTGAGCCGGTTTTTCCTTTGCTTTCACTAGTTTGTGACATTCTTAACAATAACCCCCCCTCTTTTTTCTCCTTTCTTCCTTGTAGCAAAAATCCAGGAAGAAGATGTGTATTCTTGCCATAGTTTGTTCCATTGTGCTCATCATACTCGCCGTCATTATCTACTGGGCTAGCAAATGAGCTGATTTCATCCAAGTATTGCCTCAGCACTCGATGTAACCCTGCAACACCCCCTTCACCCCGACCTCACCGACAACAACCAGAGAAGCTCTTTGTAGTAAAACCATCTCAGAAGTTCATCAAAATCCAGAGCTGGACAATTTGAAACATGTACTCATCATAAATCCTTAAGTCGGCTGATTTGTTAAGTAGATGAATAAGCTGCTTTGACTTTGGTGAGGAGGCTGTGGAGGGCGGGGCTTTGGAGCGGTCCCATCAACATAATTCCTTCCTTTCCCGTACTTACTTTACTGCACTAACACTAGCTCTCACTGTATAACACATGTATAAATAATGTAAGGAATAACTTAATATTGGCAGATTTCCTTTTAAGTTTTATGTATTTTGTTTATTTGTTGTTTAATTGATGTCGTGGCATCTTCTGATGTAGAAGTAAACAGCCATTTGTCTTGCCGTGAGTCGTTAGCCTCACAGTGAAGCATTGGTATTATGGTATTGAAGTGAGTACATGTTGAAAGTACTATAAACACATCCGTATTATAAACATTATGTTGAGAACATGAAGGTTGATGTAAAAATCTAAAAAAAATGAAAGAACAGACTTTGTATAAATCATTTTAAGTTGATTTCTATGATCTCTCCTTACAGAAACCGTAATAAATATGTTAAGCAAAGGTTGCGTCTGTTTGTTAATGGGTGACAGAAGTTGAGGTAAAATTATTTTACCAAGAGGTAACAGAAAGGACTCTTATATTCACGATGTTAGGTTTATCTGTGACTTGTTGACAGGATCATTTTAAAAGGCGTTTGAGTTTAATGTCAGTGTGAACACGAGTCCACAAACAATTACTAACGGCTTGTTGCAAAATAAAGCCCTCCTGGGATTTCTCTTTTTATGGATAAATTGCAAGTTAAACTTAGGATGTTTGTAGATAAACATGTAACATGAGATCAGGCGACTTTTTGCTCCTTTTACTAAAACCTCAGAACTTCTTACTTACTACTTACCTTTTACTTTTATATCAGTTAAGAAAACAAGGTACTTTTATCAACAACAAAAAACTTTCTTCAACTGCCCAGCAGTAAATACGCTATATTTGGAGGAACGTTTTGGGTGAAATGTTTTTACATCTTGTTTGAGAGAAAAATGTTCCTTTTAAAATAATACGCCTGTTTTACAAATCTATTCAATCCAGTTTATTTATAAAGCACCAGAAATGTCCTCTCAAGGCTCTTTAATCAGATCATACAGGCAGATTAACGTTGATAAGTTTTCTGTCAAAGTAAACCCAACTGATTGCAGCAGTCACTGACTTTGCAGAATACTTTCTTCCTAGAAGGGCATGTAGAGAGAGTATATATTTGCTTATGTTGGCTGTACAGCAATACCTCACACTGAGCATGTATACAGCAATAGCGCAGAGGAAAAACATTTTGGAGGAAGAAACTTCCAGCAGAACCAGGCTCAGTGTGAGTGGGTTCAAGGAGAGAGTCCAAGACAGAAAGAAATCATAGACGCACTAATCTAGATATACTTCCTGTTAGAAAAGGGAACAGTCAGCCCTCTCTACAGGTGGCTGTGTCTAGAAAAGAAACAGTTAAGCAAATTAGCTTTGAGTTTCAAGAAGAGTGAACAAGAACTCAAGGTAACAGTAAAAGTTGGGCGCATAGTCATTTTTAGTAGAGAAACAGGACTACAATAAGTGCTGAAAAACAGGCTCAACTCTATCATTAAATGGAAATTGTCGATGGCAGCAGCCTAGATGCTTCAAGGAGCCTCAAGGATGATGTCACAGCCAAACAGGACCAGGCCAGATTCGGAGCTGCAATGATTAAAAAAAAGAAAGTAGAAAGAAAGCTAGAAGTTTAACAAAGAAATAATGCAAAAGAAATTGAGAATAGAAGTAGAATAAATCAGAGTGGTGAAAAGTTGTCCCTATGTCCTCCAGCAGCCTAAACCTATAGCAGCATAGCTATAGAGATAGGTCAGGATAACGTCTAGCTTTAAGTCTTATCAGAAACTTTTAAGCCTAGTCTTAGAAATAGACAGGATGTCTGTATCCTAATTACAGACCAGGGGAATGATTTACTGAGGCCATGCGTGCCACAGAACGCTGCCATTTGGCGCATTATTTTGGCTGCCAGGGGTCTTGCCATGAGGCAGTTCCCTTATAGCACTTTCTTTATCTCTGTGGAAAGATAGGAGCCACATAGGGGAGGGAGAGGAGAAAAAAAATTTCATTTTTCACACTTTCACACAGTTTGAGGTATCAAAAAACAAAAACACCTCAGCACAAGAAAAGCGCATATAACAAATTGGGGGGGGGGGGGCTTGAAGTATTTTCTTGTTTGGCTCCACATGGTGAATCCAATATTCAAGGCTTTTTCACCTTGAAGCGAGCATGAACATCCAAGATATCCCTTCTCACCTTTGAGTTCAAGCACCGCAGCCAGCCTGCGTTTGATCGCACCCAGCATACGGCTGAGCTCACAATCCTGCTCGCTCACAGCCTTTGTGAGCGTGTCAACCGCTGTAAGCATCCTGATCAATGCCAAATTGCCACAGACATCCTCTATAATTGTAGATACATCAGGTATACTCCAAATCCAAACAGAATAAATCATAAATAAGTATCAAAAATCCATGTGTCTTTCACATCCTCGACTGAAAACATTGTAAAACACACCATCCTCCAAGCCTTCCATGAGTGCATGGCGTATCCCAGAAAGTATGTCATGGCAGGACAGGATGGGTCCCCTTTTCCCTGTCTTCCAGCTAACAAAATTTGAGCAAAGCAGGGACAGAATGGGGGGAGTTGTAGGAGCAGGAGGCAAGTGTGACCGCCTCCTTTGAGAGTCAGAAAATATATATTTTTTATATATATATTTCCTCAGAGCATAGTGTTACCCTTACATGTTTATTATTTTCTCTAGATACCCAAATGATCCAAAGTAGTTTTAATTTCAGTTTTTAAATACCAGAGCCTTAAATTCAATTAATTGAACATCATAGTATGCCTAGGTAAAACTGAAAAGCAATGCTATTTATTTTTTGCCTGTCTGTTCTACTTAATCTCAGTTTCATCAGCAAAAGTTAGTTGGAGCAGTTTAAATTAACTCTGGGTACGATGAAGGCCTTAAACACTATATTAACTGGTTAATACCTAAGACCTATTCAATGCAGACCCGGACAGGATGTCTCTGTGTAGTGCTGGATCTTCTGACATGTATGGATAACAATCCCAGTTCTTTGAAAGCTGGCATACATCTTTTACAGGTAAGTTTCTAGAAGAGCTTAAGAGCATTTCCTATCCTTAATCATTTCCCTGCAATGATGCTGCTTCATGTCTCACCTCATTTGAACCATCTCTGCCAGCACCCTGTCCCAACTTCCATCCTAATAATCTACCAGTAGAGGGCAATACATTCAAAAGTACCACCATTGCCTTCCACCATTGTTATTTTCTTTGTAAAATTCATGTGATATGGGGAAAATGTTCAGGACGGTTTAATTCAATATTGATCTTGGGAGAAAAAATAGGATTTAATACGTTTCCTTTTTCTTCTTCCTAATCCTTTCCAGGCAGGTTGATTAGTTGAGATCATGTATGGATAGACATAAAAATAAAGAGAGAAATTTTGATAACCATCTTTAAACACACTTCATGTCACAGCAATGCATGCCTGTGACATTGTGTAAAGTGTGTTATCTTTCTTATCATGAACCATTTCCGTGCCTGAATATTCTGGCTTTCACTCTTCTTAGAGGCAACATGTTTTTAGTTTTTTATTTTATTATGTTTGTAATAGGGCTTTTTTTTTTGGTTTCCTCTGCATCATACTGGGTTTTATGTAAGACAAAAAGGATCGTATTAATAATACAAATCTAAGCTAGGAGCTACATGATTAGAAGATAAAAGCCACTTTTACACGCAAAGGGTTATAGGCCAGACTCCAAAAAGCAGGGCAAGTATCAGCAAAATTATCGTATATATATATATACATATATATACGGATATATATATATATATATATATATATATATATATATATATATATATATATATATATATATATATATATATATATATATATGTATATACAGTGGGGAGAACAAGTATTTGATACACTGTTGATTTTTCAGGTTTTCCCACTTGCAAAGCTTGTAGAAGACTGTAATTTTTATCATAGAAACTCTTCAACTGTGAGTGATGGAATCTAAAACAAAAATCCAGAAAAATACAATGTATGATTTTTAAATAATGAATTTCCATTTTATTGTGTGAAATAAGTATTTGATCATCTATCAACCAGTAAGAATTTTGGCTCTCACAGACATGTTAGTTCTTCTTTAAGAAGCCTTCCTGTTCTCCGCTCATTACCTGTATTAACTGCACCTGTTTGAACTCGTTACCTGTATAAAAGACACCTGTCCACACACTCAATCACACTCCAGCATCTCCACAATGCCCAAGACCAGAGAGCTGTGTAAGGACATCAGGGATAAAATTGTAGACCTGCACAAGGCTGGGATGGGCTACTGGACAATAGGCAAGACGCTTGGTGAGAAGGCAACAACAGTTGGTGCAATTATTAGAAAATGGAAGAAATACAAAATAAGGGAAAATCTCCCTCGGTCTGGGGCGCCATGCAAGATCTCACCTCGTGGAGCATCATTGATCTTGAGGAAGGTGAGGAATGAGCCCAGAACTACACGGCAGGACCTGGTCGATGACCTGAATAGAGCTGGGACCACAGTCTCAAAGAAAACAATCAGTAACACTCTACGCCAGGGGTCGGAAACGTATGGCTCGCGAGCCACTTGTGGCTCTTTTGATGATATCATCTGGCTCGCAGACAAAACAAAATATTTAATTTGGATAGAATAAAATCTGTTTTAATCCATGCATCGGTATTCCGCTGCTCATGTCCTGTTCAGGGTTGCTATTGGCTGCAGGAGCAGTCCATTATTTTAATTGGACAATAATAGCCTACGTTGGCTGTTGCTGGGTAAACCCCCTTTTGAATCAGTCTGCTCGGGCAGTAGCTCACAGCTAACCCTTCAACGAAGAAGATGGCAAAAAGAAAAAAAGACGAGGAGTATCGTACATTTCAGGACGAATGGACCGAAGAATTTGCCTTTGTGGAGAGAGAGGGTTCTGCGGTGTGTCTTATTTGCAATGACAAAATTGCATCGATGAAACGGTCGAATGTAAAGCGGCACTTCGACACACGCCATGCTACCTTTGCGTCAAAGTACCCGGCGGGGGGCAGCCGGAAGAAAGCGTGCCAAGAGCTACTGAGCAGCGTGCAGGCTAGCCAGCAGCAGCTCCGCGTATGGACCCGACAAGGTGACTATAATTCCGCTAGCTTTGCTGGATCTTTAGCAATAGGGAGGAACGGAAAACCAAAAACCATTCACAGATGGCGAGTATGCTAAAACGTTCATGCTGGAGGTAGCCAATGAACTTTTTGATGATCTTCCGAACAAAGACAAGATAATCAAACAGATAAAAGACATGCCTCTGTCGGCAAGAACTGTTCATGATCGCACCATCATGATGGCAAACCAAGTGGAGGAAATGCAGGTGAAGGACATAAATGCAGCGCTGTTTTTTTCCCTGGCTTTGGACGAGTCAACAGACGCAAGCCATTAGTCACAGTTCAGTGTGAT